TGATAATCATCTCAGGCAGCTCAGACTATTAAGAGCAAAAGTGAGAAAGCAAGCTCTCCCCCAGGGAACATTAGCTTAAGAAACTTCTAGTCCCTGGGGCGGGGGAGAGGGTGGTGGATAAAGTGAGACCTAAACCTTCTCCCTGAGTTTCCTCTGACAGCAAAATTAGCCTTTGCACTGGCCACTCCCTGTGCCTAGGTCCTCCTGCCCCGATGCCCACGTGGGCATCTTGCCCTCACCTCCTCCAGGTCTCAGCCCAAATGTCCCCTGACCCCCGCCCCCCAAACCACTTCCCTACTTGCTTTTGCTCCAAAGCATTTGTCACCTTCCATTTTTCTCTAGAACATAATGACTTACTACTTTTTTGTCGCGATCTTGCCCTCTGGACTGTGAGCCTGACAAGGACGGGCTGCTGCGCAGTGTTCGTGCGGTCAGCAGAGTGTCAGACACACAGTAGGAAGTCAGTGAGCACCAGCTGAATGGATCAGCGTGGCGAGTACTGCACTAGTTACCCTGTCCATCACGCCGCCCGCCCGTGATCTCACATGTCCCCCTCTGACTTGGTGGCGTCTCCTCCGGCAGCTAACTCCTCCTCCTCACGGCTTACCCATGTCCCCATCGTGCCTCCTGCCCCCCCGGGGGCTGCCTCTCCACTGCCGGCTGTGAGGGTCACCCAGAACCCGAATCACGGGTAGCCTTGGCTGTGCCCTCCCGCCCCAGACACTGGGTCCCCAAATCCCTGTCAGGGTCGGGCCCACGCTGTGCCACAACCAATGCACTCGAGGCCACAGCAGCAAATGTGGTGCCCCATCCTCCTGAGGCCCTTGCTTTTCTCAGGGGAAAGTGAAGAAAAATGTTATTTTTCTAGTCAAAACCATTCGGATATGTAATGCAGTTGAGGGCAACATTTGCATGAAAGGTTCATGAGTGAAGTGTTGAGGCCTCACAGTAAACTGGCCATGTAGGGATCCGCTTTGAGCTCAGTCCCCCCCGGGGGTCCCTGATTTCTCCCTCCAGCCGCTAGAACCACCAAGGTCCCAGGCATTCATATCTGCACCTCCTCCTTCCCCACCATCTTAGAAAGCAGCCCAAGTCTTCGGGTTTCCGGGTGGGTGGTGCGACCCTTCAAAGAGCACTGATTTTTTAAGGCTTGAAAGCGACTGACCTTCATGCTCAGTTGACCCACAGCTGACAGAAGGTTCCAGAGGGCAGGAGGGGCTGGCTTGGGGTCACACAGCCAGAGGCCCACGTCCCGCCTCAGCGTCAGTGGCCCTGACAGCGCCGCGCTCCCCAGCAGGCCAGCCCCTTCCTGATCACAGCCACCACGTGCTGGGGCTGAGCCCGAGCCTGCCTGCATTGAGGAGTCAGGAGTCCGCGGGGCAGGGGCGGGGTGTGAGGGGAGCACGGACCCCGGGGAGCACGGACCCCAGACCCCGGAAGGCCATCTGGCCGCCGTCCCCTCCTACCTGCCTTGAGCCTTCTGGGCCAGCGTGCTCGGGACTGGCCAACTGCGGGCCCCTGGGGGGCAACGGCGCTCATGTCCCACACAGCGCCGGGTGGCGTGGCTGCCAGGGGTCCCTGCGGGGAGAGCGTGGCTGCCTTGGCGAGGGGACTGGGGCGGGGTGGTGTTGGATTCTTAGGCTCTGCTCTGAGCTCCCGCCCAGAACCCCTACTAGCCCGGGGGCTGAGAACAGCCAGCCACTCTGCACTCACTCCCGAGAGCCCACGCTGTCCGCCAAGCTCCTGTCCGCCAAGCTCCTGCGGGAGGGAAGGGCCGTGAGCGGCTGACTGCAGAGGACAGTCTCTTCCAGGGCACAGGTTTGAACGACGACAGGGGTGAAGGGTGAGGTTTGTGCAAAAGAAGCCGGGGAAAGGGCCTGGGTCCCAGGTGGAACCCCACACTGCCCAGGCAAGAGGCCTGACCCTGGACCTGGTGGGTACACGGCTAGACTCTGCCCCTTAAAGTGGGGGCCAGGGTGGGCTACAGTCTCGAGGGACAGGGACTGGGGGCCGGACATCTGGGCTCCCCAGTGGCAGGCGGTGGCGTCTGGATCCCCCAGGAACACCGTGGGACTCAGCCGGTTGCGCGGGGTACTAAGGGCCAGAAAGCGGTACCCCGTGAACGGCCCAGGCAAGAGAGGAGGTGGGAGATGGGGCGAGCCCCTTAACAAGGCCGGTGCCGGGGGGGGGGGGGGGGGGGGAGCCGCTAGAACCACCAAGGTCCCAGGCATTCATATCTGCACCTCCTCCTTCCCCACCATCTTAGAAAGCAGCCCAAGTCTTCGGGTTTCCGGGTGGGTGGTGCGACCCTTCAAAGAGCACTGATTTTTTAAGGCTTGAAAGCGACTGACCTTCATGCTCAGTTGACCCACAGCTGACAGAAGGTTCCAGAGGGCAGGAGGGGCTGGCTTGGGGTCACACAGCCAGAGGCCCACGTCCCGCCTCAGCGTCAGTGGCCCTGACAGCGCCGCGCTCCCCAGCAGGCCAGCCCCTTCCTGATCACAGCCACCACGTGCTGGGGCTGAGCCCGAGCCTGCCTGCATTGAGGAGTCAGGAGTCCGCGGGGCAGGGGCGGGGTGTGAGGGGAGCACGGACCCCGGGGAGCACGGACCCCAGACCCCGGAAGGCCATCTGGCCGCCGTCCCCTCCTACCTGCCTTGAGCCTTCTGGGCCAGCGTGCTCGGGACTGGCCAACTGCGGGCCCCTGGGGGGCAACGGCGCTCATGTCCCACACAGCGCCGGGTGGCGTGGCTGCCAGGGGTCCCTGCGGGGAGAGCGTGGCTGCCTTGGCGAGGGGACTGGGGCGGGGTGGTGTTGGATTCTTAGGCTCTGCTCTGAGCTCCCGCCCAGAACCCCTACTAGCCCGGGGGCTGAGAACAGCCAGCCACTCTGCACTCACTCCCGAGAGCCCACGCTGTCCGCCAAGCTCCTGTCCGCCAAGCTCCTGCGGGAGGGAAGGGCCGTGAGCGGCTGACTGCAGAGGACAGTCTCTTCCAGGGCACAGGTTTGAACGACGACAGGGGTGAAGGGTGAGGTTTGTGCAAAAGAAGCCGGGGAAAGGGCCTGGGTCCCAGGTGGAACCCCACACTGCCCAGGCAAGAGGCCTGACCCTGGACCTGGTGGGTACACGGCTAGACTCTGCCCCTTAAAGTGGGGGCCAGGGTGGGCTACAGTCTCGAGGGACAGGGACTGGGGGCCGGACATCTGGGCTCCCCAGTGGCAGGCGGTGGCGTCTGGATCCCCCAGGAACACCGTGGGACTCAGCCGGTTGCGCGGGGTACTAAGGGCCAGAAAGCGGTACCCCGTGAACGGCCCAGGCAAGAGAGGAGGTGGGAGATGGGGCGAGCCCCTTAACAAGGCCGGTGCCGGGGGGGGGGGGGGGGGGGGGGGGGAGGCCAGCCGGTGGAGCGCTGGGTTGGGTGCGGGGCGGTTCCCACCCAGTGGCCAGGCTCCGCCTTCTCCAGAGATGGTCGGCAAAGTGCACAGCCCGCTGCGCTGGGCGGGTAGGGAGTGAGGTTGAGTGTGAATGCGCACGAGTGCGTGTGTGTCTGTGGTCTCGGCGTCTGTGTCATTGTGTGTTTACATAGAGTAATTGTGTGTGTGTCTTCGGTCTCTGTGTCTGAGGGGGGGGACAGGGGCAAATGCCCGGCGCAAGAGCTCAAAATGGCGCCAGGCTCCTCCTCGGGAGGTGCGGAGGGCCACGCCCGTCGTCTGGGGCGGGGGAGGCGGCCTCCGCACCAGGCGACTGCGGTGGGAACGCTGCGGGCTGTGAGATCAGGCTGGGAGGACAGGACCCACCCGCACCCACTGCTACCTCTTCGACTCCCAGCTGGGGCACAAACCCGGGTCCAGATTCAGAGCCAGGGGATCCAGTGGGGCCCAGAAGGGCTCCAAGGCCCCCAGACCCGAGGGGGCTCCTCATCAGGGGCTGCCAGCCCGGCGGGGTGGGGGTGGGTGGGTGCGCATTTCCGCTCCGGGTCCATCTTCGATCCTGCCACCCCCGGCTCTGGACTTGTGGTCCCTGCGGATGCCCTAGCATCTGGCCCTGCCCTGTCTCCCTCTCTCCTCCCTTAGTACCCGCCACCCCCGACATCTGTTCCGCCTTCTGCTCTGGGGGCCTTAGGACTGGAGGGGAATGCGGGGGCTCTGATTGCCGGACCCTGAGGCCTAGGATGGCAGTGGAGGGTGGGGTGGGCAGAGGTTATCAGAAATTAAAGCACAGGGTCCTCCCATCGCGAGCCCCAAGGGGAAACCAGGGGTCTGCCTTCCCAGCCCAGGCTTCCAGCCCCTAGGCATCCCCGTCCCCATCGGGTCCCTCAGCACAGCTCTTGGGGCTTTGAACCTGGGTGAGAAAGGGTTAAGGGTGGGTGGAGGCTAGGGCTGGGTGGCAGGGAGGCCTGGTTGTTTGGTGATAATCCCCCTCCATGCCCTGGGCGTGGAGAACACGGTTAGGGCCCCACGTGGGAAAGGGCCTCCACTCTGATCCCCAATCCCCATGGCCCTTGCCCTTCACTCACCTCTGCCCCCGACTCTGTCTTTGCCGTCTGTGCCTGTCAGCCCCTTTCTCCATTTCTTTGCCACTAAGTCTTCATCTGTCTCTAACTCCCCCTCTCCTGCCCACCCGGCTCCTCCTTTCTCCCCCTTGCCCCCTCTTTGGGTTTCCCCATCTGTCCCCCCTCCCTGCCCTCTCCCCAGGGCCCCCTGCCCCTCGACACTGACGGATAGCTCTGGGGTGTTAAGCTATGGATTAGTTCAGGCAAAATTCTCGATTTTGCTTGCGTTCTTTCCCCTTTGGGTTATGTAAACAGTAATTCTCCCCAGATGGAACTATTTTCCTCGCTCAGAAGCAGCCGGGAGGGGTCTGGGGCAGGGCTGGAGGTGGAATGCTGGGGTTCCTCAGGGAGCCTGGGGAGCGGGCTGGAGGCTGACCCCCGAGGGCGGCCTGAGGCCCCCCGCCCAGACACTCATCTCCTCTCCAGGTACCTGCCTCCGCCAGAACCATGCCAGTGACCTTTGCCCTCTTGCTCCTCCTGAGCCAGGCCAGCGCAGACCCATGCTACCATCCAGGGGGCCGGCCCCGCTTCTGCCTCCCACCAGTGACCCAGCTGGCTGGCATGGCTGCCTCCTGTCCCCAGGCCTGCATCCCCTCCCCGGGGGCGGATCTCGGCCCCCGGGCCACCTGCAATGGCAGTCTGACCCTGGCTTTGGGTGGCCCCTTCCTCCTAACGTCCGTCAGCCTTCGCTTCTGCACCCCGGGACCCCCAGCCCTGGTCCTGTCTGCCGCCTCTGCCACCGGAGGGACCTGGAGATCATTGTGGCGCAGACCCGCCTGGCCGGGGGCCTTGGGAGGTCCCGAGACGGTGACCTTCCGAGCCCCACTGGGCCCTAAGGCCAGGGTGGTGGCCAGTCACCTCCGTGTGGAGCTTGGGGGCCAGGCAGGGCTGGCAGCAGCAGGAGTGAGAGGCCGCTGCCAGTGCCATGGCCACGCAGCCCGCTGTGCTGCCCGTGACCGGCCGCCCCGCTGCCGCTGCCGCCACCACACCACCGGCCCAGGGTGTGAGAGCTGCCGCCCATCCCACCGCGACTGGCCCTGGCGGCCTGCCACACCCCGGCACCCTCACCCTTGCTTGCGTGAGTCCTGGGCCCACCCTGACCCACCAGCTGGCCACAGGGCTCCAGCAGCTGGGCCCTTCTCCCTGAGGGGCAGGATGTTCTCCCCCTCCCCAGAGCTGCACGCTCCTTGCTTCTCCCCATACTGTCCTCCAGCCAGGCCCCCTCTTCACTTCCGCCCACTCCCTCCCCACCACCTGTGCTGCCCCCAGACTTCCAGCTGCTTACATGCCCATTAGGGGGCTCCAGCGTCTCCCCGACACTTGATCATGGTGATGGTGATATGGATAACATTTCCTGAGCTCCCAGCCCAGGGCCTGGCTTGGTGCAGGTGCTCAGGTGGTATTTACTGAGTGGCTGTAGGAAAACAGGGCAACTGGACATTTTCGGAATCATCAAATCAACCACAGGGGGTAAAGATTTATTCATTAGACACATATTTATCCAGCAACTACTATGTGCAGGGCAGGTATTGCATCAGGCCCATTTTACAGATGAGGAGACTGAGGTTAGAGCTGGGAAGTCCTTTGCGCAACGACATGCAGCCGGAAAGTGGCAGGGCTGGAATCTGAGCTCAGGAGGATAAGCCCAAGGGTCTTAGCTTGTCCTTGCCAGCCACCTTTATGTGCTGTCACACTAGATGTTCTCAGGCAGCAGACACGGGCATGGCCTCAGCAGCCAGCCAGACTGCCTGGGCTCAAATCCCAGCTTCTCTGCTTCCTGGCTGTGTGACCCCCAACAAATGACCAAACCTCTCTTTGCCTCCACTGGCTCACCTGTAATGTGAGGATAACAGCCCTTCCTTTACAGGCTGTAGTGAAAATTCAATACATTAAAATACATAAAGTCCTTAGAATAAAGCCTGATACAGGACCTGGCACGGAGGAAGAGTTCTGATTCCGCCAGTGTTACCACTGCCCAGACGAGGAGGGTGAGGCCCAAGGGGACGTGTCACTTGCTCTACGTCTCACTGTCAGCAAGGGGCAGTGCTGGGACTGGACTCAGAGAAGTCTTCTGAGCGGCTGGGCCATCCACCAGCCTTCCAGCTGGACCAGAGCTCCCCAGGCCCCACTCAGCGCCCTCCCCCATCCTCAGGGCTTCCAGACTGGCCTCAAGAGTCTGGGCCCTTCCCCATCCCTCCAGCGGCTCTCCTCAGAGACAGCCCTCCTCATCCCACCTCCAGCCAGCAGCCTTGCTAGAGGGTCTGAGTGTGTTACATGGCCTGGCTAACTCCGCTCCATGGATAGATACACCACACACACACACACACACACACACACACACACACACACCCTCCATTCTCTCGCTCCTGGACCTCCCTCTCTCTCCACCTCGCACATCCTTTGCCCCTCTCCCCCTCTACATCTTCCTGCAATGTCAAGTGGACTAACTTACAGACCATCCCAGCTGTCCTCTGCTCCCCACTCTGTCCTCATCACACTTGGGTCCCCTTTGACCCGCTGTTCTCGTCATCCCAGGCCTCTGTCCAGTTGGCCCATTCCTACCAGTAAGATCTGATGCTCCTACAGGGGAGTGAGGGAGGGGAGAATCACGTGGCCTGAGGGTAGGGTGGGGTCCATCCTGGGGGAGGACAGGGCCTGGGAGCTGGGGAGGCTGTCCCTCTGTGGATCATCACATCCCCTCAGGATGAGCTGGGCAGCCGACCCTCCGAACCTGGGTAACAGACCAACAGTGTTGTGATGGAGAAGGGTCTGGGCAGACAGGATGAGACTAACTCCTCTGGCGGAGCTGTGGGCTTTATAGACACAGTGGCCTGAACCCTTCTCCCAATCCAAGTTTTCTAGTGGGGAGTGAGGTGAAGTGATCACTCTCAGGTCAGAAAGAATCCAAAGCCCAACTCTACTGACTGATAATCTCAAGAGCGCTGCCATCCCTACTGCCTACAAAAACCCTTGAGAGAAGAACTGAGATCCCCACTGGATGGGAGGAAACTGAGGCTCAGAGAGGGGGAGTCATTTTCCCAAGAACACACAGCTGTCTCAGCTCCCTGACCTTCCCGCTACTCCTTGGGGCCCTCAGGACCTGCCAGTCTAGGCCTCTCAAACCTCTTGGAGTCAAAAACTCCTTACATCTCTCCAAAGAGTGGTCCATGAACTCCCTGCATCAGCACCTCACTTTGGGATGCTTGCTAGACATACAGGCCCCTGGACCCACAGAAGCCCTGGGATGGGCCCTGGAATCTGTGTTGCTCTTTTTAAACATTTCCCCCGTAATCTGGATAAGCGGTAAGGTTTGAGAGCCGCTGCTTTTGAAAATCTGATCAACACTCCCCAGCAAAATGTACATGGTAAGTGGTCCTCATGTGAGCTGTGTGAGAAGCACCAGAGTGCGCCTGGGTTGCAATCCTGCCTCTGACCACCCCTCAGCTGAGTTTCTTTGGGCAGGTGACCTCGCCTCTCTGCCTCAGTGTTCACATCTGTAAAATAGGGATGATGACAGCCCCAGTCTCACAGAGCTGCTGTGAGAAGGAAACATGCCAAGCACTCAGCACATGGCACCTGGCACGTGGATGTGCTAAGCGGGCAAGGGCATGCTCTGCATCAGGTATGGAGTTAAGTAAGCACTTTTTACGTAGGTGGTTGCATTTAAAGATCATGAAGTAGACACTACAAATGCCATTTTACAGCAGAGGAGACTGAGCTACAGAAAGGAGTCGTCACTTGTCCACGGAAACAGTGAGACACTTACACGCGGGGGTCTGATTCCACAGCCTAGGCCCAGAGCCGCCACTCTTCTTTACGACCCCTGGTTTTACACAGACATCCAGCATATTCACCACTCCTCTCGGGCTCATCCAGCTCCAGTCCACTGCACCCATTTTAAGGATGACAATGAAGAGCTTCTAGGACCCACACTTACCTAGGGACCCCCAGGCAGTCTCTTTCCTGAGGGCAGTGGGGAGAAAGCTGGGAAAGGGGAACAGAGAGCCGGGCCTGATGTGCCGTTACTCCATCCTGTTCCTAGCCTGTTCCTGCAACCAGCACGCCCGACGCTGTAGGTTCAACTCTGAGCTGTTCAGGCTGTCGGGCGGCCGGAGTGGGGGTGTTTGTGAGCGGTGCCGCCACCACACAGCTGGGCGGCACTGCCACTACTGCCAGCCGGGGTTCTGGAGGGACCCTAGCCAGCCTATCAACAGCCGCAAGGCCTGCAGGGGTGAGTGCAGCCAGAAGCCCAGCCTAGAGGGAAAGGAGGCAGGCAGGTCTGAGGGGGGAGGGGCCTGGGGCCTGGTTCCTGGGTCTTAGGGAGGAGGGACAGGGGGCCTGGACCCCTGGGTCTGACGGGGGAGGGGCCAGGGGCCTGGATCCTGGGTCTTAGGGAGGAGGGGCCGGGGTTCTGGACCCCTGGGTCTGATGGGGGAGGGGCCAGGGGCCTGGATCCTGGGTCTTAGGGAGGAGGGGCCGGGGTTCTGGACCCCTGGGTCTGATGGGGGAGGGGCCAGGGGCCTGGATCCTGGGTCTTAGGGAGGAGGGGCCGGGGTTCTGGACCCCTGGGTCTGATGGGGGAGGGGCCAGGGGCCTGGATCCTGGGTCTTAGGGAGGAGGGGCCGGGGTTCTGGACCCCTGGGTCTGAGGGAGGAGGGGCTGGGGGCCTGGATCCTGGGTCTGAGGAGGAGTGGCCCAGGAATTCCAGTCTCCTCAGTCCTTGGGGAAGAGGCTGGCAGCCTGCACCACACATCCCCAGCTCCTCTCCTCATGTAGCCTGCCAGTGCCATCCTATCGGGGCGACAGGTGGTACCTGCAACCAGACCAGTGGGCAGTGCTCCTGCAAGTTAGGGGTCACTGGCCTGACATGCAGCCGCTGTGGTCCCGGCTACCAGCAGAGCCGCTCCCCAAGGATGCCCTGCCAGCGTGAGTCCTGAGGGACAGGGCCCAAGTCTGAAGGGGGGTGGGAAGGAGACATCCCAGATCTCCAGGGGGCAGGTGCTGTGAGGACCTGCTCCGTAGGAGACGGAAGCTAGAGAGTGGAGGCCGGACTCTGAGTCCTTAGGGAAGTGAAGGCTGAAAGTCCAGTCTCCTCCATCTTGGGGACGAGGAGGGTGGGAGCCTGGATTCCTGGGTCTGAGGGAGGAAGGGGCTGGGGACCTGGGCTTCTGAGTCTTAAGAAAGTGGCTAGGGACCAGGACTCCAGGTCCTGGGGGAGAAAGGCAAAGGGTGCTTCCACTCTTGGGCCTCAGAGGAATAGACATTTGGGGTCTGGATGCCTGGCTTCCTCGGGGGGAGCGGGCTGCGGATGGGAGGCACTAAGGCCCTGTCTCTCCTCTGCTCTTTCACAGGAATTCTAGAGGCAACCACCACCCTTGCTACAACCCCTCATGCTTACAGCTCGGGTAAGACTGGCTGGCCTAGAAACCCCTGGCAGCAAGAGGGATCAGGGATGGGCTGACTGGGCCGCCAGGTGGGGATCCAGGGGTGTTCCACCAAGCCCAGTCCCCAAGGGTTCAGGCACCCCAGCTGTCCGTCAGGATGAAATGCAGGGGATGGGCAGGGGCAGAACGCTGTAGTCCAGGCCTCAGGAGCCCACTGCAGCCTGACCCTCCCCAGACCCTCAGTGTCAAAACTACTGCAATATGTCGGACACCAGGGTACACATGAGCCTTCGGAGGTACTGCCAGCAGGAGTACGGTGAGTGCTGGGGGGGAAAAGGGCCAGCAGGGGCTCTGATCTGCTGCAAGCCACCCCCTTCTCTGGCCTTCAGTTTCCTCAGCTTAAATGGGAAGGGGTGTTGGACTCTACAGGGCCTTTCCTGATCTAGAACCTAACAGGACAGCAGACAATGGGCAGAAGGGGCGGTGCGGAGGGGGCGCTCCCTACCTTCCTAGGTCTCCTCTCTCCCCATGTTATTGGCCTTGCAGAGTTTCACGATCTCCTTCAGCCTGACGTCTCTGAGGGAGGGAGGTGGCCTCCTGAGGATGGAAGGAGAAAGGGGAACTGGTTGAATGGAAGGGATCCTTGCACCGTCTTGTCTGTCTCAGACCCTCTGCCTCCTATCAGGGTCTGAGATATTGGAGCCCCACTCCCACAGACTCACCCCACAGTTCCCTAATCCACCAGTCCACACCAGCCCCCGACCCCAGGGCCTGTGGCTGCAGGCTCTCTTGGACAATCAGTTCAGCCCAGTCCCAGTTACTTCCCTCAATGGTATAGGATCCCAGACCTCTCCTCCCTGAGGCTCAGCATCTGGCCACTAGTGTCCTTGAACTTCAAAGGTGGAGGCTTCTCCCCCAACCTCCCACAGGGATCTTCTGCCCCAAAGACCAAGCTTGTCTGCCAGAGTCCTGCTCCCAACACGTCTCACCTCACCCCCTCAGAGAGGACACGTCTCTGAATCACCACTAGTATGACCTCGACCCTCAGCTTCCAAGGACTGGTCTCCTTCTGGCCCCCAAATTAATCCTAAATGCAGATCCCTCCCATGGCAATACCCCTGTTTTCGAAGGGCTCTGTCTGCTCCTAATACCTTCTGACCCCTTGGCATTAGAGATCTGGACTTGCCTCTTGGGCCTTGTTCCCAGCCCCACCCACTGCAGGGTCCTCCTGGGACCTCTAACCCTTTAAGTAATCCCTGTACCCGCTGCTTCTAATGTGACCCCCAAAGCGCCCCATCTGGCATATTCCTGGTGGGCCCCTGGGTTCCTCGCCCTGTCTGGCCTCCTCTCCAGAGGGACCCCCTCCCCCGCCTTCCCAATCACAATCCTGTGACCCAACCTATCGCTCCATAAGCCCCAGTCTCCTTGCTTTGACCCATCTCCCCAGAAAGATCTCACTCCTCACAGCACACGGCCAGACCCCCAGACCTCTCATCCTCAAAGGTTCAAGGTCTCTCCCTACTGATGCGATCCCGGAAGCCCACTCTCGGGTCCCGGGCCCCTCCCCACCAGGACTGACCCCACCGGACCCGGAGCCTCCCCACCGCCCAGGCCTGACATCTCCCCTCCCCGCAGTGCTCCGCGCGCAGGTGCTGGCGTCCGAGGCGGCGGGCCCGGCGTGGCAGCGGCTGGCCGTGCGCGTCCTGGCTGTATACAAGCAGCCGGCGTGGCCTGTGCACCGCGGTGGCCAGGACGCCTGGGTGCCCCGCGCCGACCTGGCCTGTGGCTGCTTGCGCCTGCGGCCTGCCACCCACTACCTGCTGCTGGGCAGCGCGGCCGCCGGCCCCGACCCCGCGCGCCTCGTCCTCGACCGCCATGGCCTGGCACTGCCCTGGAGGCCGCACTGGGCCCGGCCGCTGCGGCGGCTGCAGCAGGAGGAGCACGCTGGGGGCTGCCACGGCCTGCGGCCTTCGACCCCGAGCCCCAAACCCAGGATCTAGAGCCGGAGCCGGGCGGCCTCGAACTCCAAGGAAGGAACTGGAAGCAACCGCCAGAGGAGTCTTCTACCTCGACGGTGCGTCCCCCAGCAAGCCAATCAGACACCGCAGAGCCCCTGACGTCACTTGCATGTGCCAGCACCGAGGAGGCATGAGGGACTTTTAAATAAAGGCAGCAAACCTCTTGGTCTCTGGCTAGGACACTTGACCTGGGACCTATGCAGCTAGTCCCCTCAATAAAGTCTCAACTCTTGGGGAAAGGGCTACAGACCCCTGACCTGTGCTGGGAGGGTATCTGAGGGGCAAAGGAAGAAGGCCGTGAGGAAATCTGTGGAGCGGAATATGGCTACAGCTCTCTGACAGAATAGCCAATCCAATGAAAAAGCTGATATGACGTCACTGGGTGCTAGTCAGATTTATATTGCCTGACGATTGGTTAAAGCCGGTGGGAGGGGAGGGTGGCTAGAAAAGGCGGGAAATACACCTGAGGAAAGCACAGCAGTGTCAGATTTCCAGAAAGTTCCAGATTGAGAAACACTTGGTTTCTGATGGCCCCAGGATGGTCTCTGAGAAAAGAATAATGGAACTTTGAGTGACTATCTGAAGAGGGTTCTCATGGGTTCACCTGGTCTTGAAGCACAGCCTAAACCCTTTCCTGAGGGAATAGCCAATTGGGAGCCACAGAGTGGTGTGACGTCGCTTGGCGCTAAGCAGAATTCGATTCCACCCAACAGCTGGGTACTACAGGCCAGAGGGATGGGGTTAAAAAGGCAGGAAGCTTAAGTACTATGGAATGGAAGGCCGTCAGGGCCTATGACCTTCCTTGTCACCCCGGCCTCTGCCCCCACAATCAACAAAAAAATTTCAAATTTGGGTGACCTTGGTAGGAGAGAAAGTGAGCTAGTACTTTGAAGGAATCTCAGACAAAGTGATATGACTTAAGGTCCACTGGGGCCTATTCTTTCCCTGAGAGAAAAGCAGGCCTCTTAGCCAGTGGGGAGTCAGGCTGGGCCATGATGTCATTGGGTGCTAGGCAGAGAGAACAGACCCTCCCGCCAATGTTCTGGGTATGCTCCTGAGGAGACTAAGAAAGGCAGGAAATAGCCTTCAGGAGGTGGCCGACCCCCAAGCTACTAATACTACCCTATATATGGGGAGGCTTGCCTTTGGCTTCCAGCTGGGCCCTGGGTGCGGGCATATCTGAAGCAGGAGTCAGGAGTCTTTAAGGGGTTTTCTGAGAAGAGTTCTGTGTTTCAGAAAAGTTCTAGGTTTCTTTATCTTGCTCTTTCCATCCTTTCTCAAAATCAGTTCAATCGGGCACTTGCCCCACTACTACACCCTCACATCTACTTACAACTTTAATAATATATTGGCCAGGGGCTTCCCTGGTGGCGCAGTGGTTAAGCATCCGCCTGCCAAGGCAGGGGACACGGGTTCGAGCCCTGGTCCGGGAAGATCCCACATGCCGCGGAGCCCGTGCACCACAACTACTGAGCCTGTGCTCTAGAGCCCGCGAGCCACAACTACTGAGCCCTCGTGCCACAACTACTGAAGCCCACGCGTGCCTAGAGCCTGTGCTCTGCAACAAGGGAAGCCAACACAATGAGAAGTACACGCACCACAATGAAGAGTAGCCCCCTCTTGCTGCAACTAGAGAAAGCCTGCACACAATGAAGACCCAATGCTGCCAAAAATAAATTTATTAAAAAAATATATTGGCCAGCTATTTCACCAACAAAACTGAGTTTATTAGGGACTAGCAGAGAAATCACAATCAGCGATATGCAAAGATGGGTGACCATAAGCAAATACAGAGAACAAGCAAGGGGAACATGCTTTTATAGGGAAAAGAGGAGAGTTGGGAGGGGCTGTAATAACCAAGGAGTCCATTGGAGGAAACTGGGAGTCCAAAGTATGGAGGCTTCGCATTGGTTGGCCTGCTACAGTCTGACTGGCTGAGCTGCCCTGGATGGAGAGAAGTTTTCTTCTTCCTTCTGATAGCA